AAAAAGGAATTGGAGTTGAAAAAGATGAACGTAAAGCATTTATTTATTATCAAGAATCTGCTGATATGGGTAATTCTAGTGGAATATATAATGTCGGTTTTTGTTATCATGGTGGAATTGGAGTTGAAGTAGATGAACATAAGGCATTCATCTATTATCAGAAATCTGCGATACTTCAACTTGGATTTTGTTATCTAAATGGAATCGGAGTTGAGATTGACTACCATAAAGCATACAGTAATTTCCAACAATCTGCGAACATGGGAGATACAGCCGGAATGAACTTTCTTGGATATTGTTATCGAAATGGAATTGGAACTACAAGAGACTTAAAGCAAGCCAATTTTTGGTATAAAAAGTAATATCATGATTTTATATTTGTTTCTTTATGTAAATACATTTTTTCACAATGAAAATATTTAAATAATTTTAAGTTATATCAGGTAATTTATTTTTTATTTTTCAATTTTTTTTTTTATTTTCAAGTATTAAATTTATTAATAAAATCAAAATTTTAGCTACAAATTAAAGGCAATATGAAGACGATATTGACGATGATTTAAAACCAATTTTCGATAAAAATAATAATATGTCATGGATTTCTTATAGTGAGTTTAAAAATATCAAAGAGATAGGACGAGGAGGATTTGCAACAGTATATAAAGCCAATTGGCTAGATCGAAGTTATAATCATAACACAGATGTAGCACTTAAACTGCTTCATAGGTCAAAATATTTTCATGAAGAAGTAATTAAATTATTATTATTATTATTATTATTATTTAGAATTACTTAAATCAAAATATTAATATTTTCAATTTATAGTTAAAAGCATATTGTGATATTACATGCGAAAATCCTTCATTTTTACAATGTTATGGAATATCAAGGGATTATTCCGGAAATTATATCCTTGTTTTAAAACTTGCTGATTTAGGATCGTTGCGTGAAAACCTTCACCATATGTTAGAAATGAAGTGGGAGGATAAGTTAAATTTACTACATTGCATTGCATATGATCTTCAAATAATCCATTCACAAAAAATTATTCACCGAGATTTACATAGTGGTAATATCTTGCAAGACACTTTGCATAGCGCATATGTTGCAGATTTAGGGTCTTCTGTATCATCTAATGCAACATTAAAAGAAGGGTCTGGCGGAGTTTATGGAATTTTACCGTATATAGCACCAGAAGTTTTGAAAGAAGGACGATATACAACATCATCAGATATTTATTCATTCGGTATGATTATGTGGGAAATCTTATATGGGAAGTCAATTTCTTATGATCAAGAAATTGGACCAGGACTTCAGATAAATATATGTGATAAAAACTTACGACCAAGAATTATAAAAACTACACCACAATGTTTTGTAAATGTGATGAGCGAATGCTGGGAAAGAGAGCCAGAAAAACGACCATCGGCCGAAAAACTCTGCGAAATTTTTACTAAATGGCAAAGTGATAAAAATATTCTACTTAAGCTATCTAAACCTGAAAAACTTGGAAGTAATCATATGCAAGAATATTCTAAAACAGATTATAGAAGTAAATTCATTGGCTACACTGCGTCGTATTATCGAGGTAAATAATTTGGGTTCTGCAAGTACCGGACCTGTATCCAGCACTTGTGGACACTATAAATAATACATAATATATATATTCAATTTAATAATTATATTTAAAACTTTATTTATAGACAGCGGACTAAATAAACTAAAGGTTCCGATGGACGAGTCCACTTGAAAGTTAATTAATTGTAATAGCCGTAGTAAGTTTATTTTTATGTCCATTGAAATAGGTTTAATAAATTTTTTTTATAAGATTAGGATTTTTAGGAGCCTGTTAAAATTCAAATTTACGAACCATTTTTAAATCATATAACTAAATATTAAGACTGACTTAATGTAGAAATTTCGAATGCAGATGACTTTGCTAAAAAGAAAAGGCATAATTGAGTTATCGAATATAATTTATTATTATGATATTTGATATTTCGATATTTATTTTTTATAATTTTGTGATTGGTTTTATTACATGAGAAGATTATGATTCTGATTTCCGATTTCTTAAATATTTTTTTGCAGAAATAAAATTGTAAATTCATTATTTTGTAAATATTTGATTTAGTACCTTTTGTAGGAATATAATTTATACATTTATCATATTTTAAAGAATTTGGTTGTGTATTATTAAATTTTATCTTTAGCCCGATAAAAATTTAAAAGTTGTATCAAATTCAATCTTATAAGAATTATTACATGATTATAGAAATTAATTTGTTTATTACTAAAAGAATCATGAAAATTCAAAGTAAACGTATAAGGAATTTTAATATATTTTTTTTTTGTTGGTGATATATCTTTTCACAGTTACAAAAAGGTTTAGAAGTTGTACTGTGCATCCAAAGCATGTTCCGGATAATAATTTTTCGCCATTAGAAATGAGTTTTTTAAAAAAATTGTATCATATATATATATATACGTATAAGTCTTTCTATAGCAGATATACAGAAATATTAGTTGATATACATATGTCATCAGAAGTAATGTTAAAGAAATCATCGATTTCTTTTTTTTTATTTTGATCTGCAAATTTCACATAATAAATACAACTATTTGAGCTACTAAAGACCATTGGTCAAAAAAAATCCAACTTACAAAATCTTGGAATATGTCCCGTTGACAGAATATATGACATACTTATAGTTTATATCAAGATATTTATGGTTCTTCGAAATTGTATGTATTTTAAATTCAAGCTTTAAATTATAGCGCTTTGCAAAAAGACGTGACCCCATGATTTTTGTGAGGAAAATTTTTGAGATTCTAAATTGTCTATTATTGCGCTTTGCAAAAATGTGTGACCTCTGCAGATCATGATGTCATGTAAAATCACGAGAAATCAGCCGATTCTAGTGGATTTTTCGATTTTTGAAGAATTTTAAGGATTTCGGACGTTATTGATTGAAAATTATGATCAATAGGGAATTAAAATCTCAGAAATTTTTCCGCCATCATCACTGTGAAATCACAGGGTCACACTTTTTTGCAAAGCGCAATAATTCGAGATCACTAATTCGAGATTATTACATTCGAAATTATTATATGCGGGATTATTATATTTGGAATTATTACTTTCGGAATTTTATTATTTTTTCAAGATTGTGATTCTTCGGGATTATGATCATTCGGTATATTTTTCTTCGAGATTTAGTTTTCAAGTTAATGAACTGTCGGTATATAGTACAATCGAGATTTAGTTCTTCGGGTTTTCGTATCAAACCCAATGTGTCATATTGTAATGCATCATAAATAACATAATATATTTAAAATTTATATATATTAAGTTATCATGGCACCGGTAGTAATGTAACAGAATAAATAAATACTGTACTAAGAATATATTATATAAGATAATTCCGATAATAAACATTTTTTTCTGTGATAATCAGGTACCATCATGTGGATCAAAAACGATAAATTTTTTGACGGGTCAATAAAGATGGGTCAGATGGTCAAAACAATGTTTTTACGTAGCTTTTAAAGAAATCATTTGCATAGCAAAAGTATTGTAGCGTTGCAACAGTGTTCTATGAAGAAAAGTATAAAAAATGAGCTTAATATAACTTATTTATATGTTTATTATCGTGGATGTAATACATTATTATGATCATAAATAACTATAAATTTACTAAATAAATAAGAACCATTACCTTATTTTAAACCAGATCTTGTTAAAATTGATCAAAAAATATAAAACAACCTCACATGTGTAAATTTCGTATGATTTCTGCTTTGACAAGTTCAATGTCTTGAACCTTAAAATGAAGTTATTTACGTACGTATGGAACCAGAAGATTATACTCGACTATCTTGGGAAATGTTTCAATTTTTTGTGATAGTGGTTTAAAATATAGTATTTTTTTAAAACGCTAATAATTGTTTTTTAAAAAAAAACAACTGAAAACTTAATACATTTGTACTCTACAAAGTTATTGGTAAATTTTTTTTAAAAAAATTCTTCTATGGAAAGTTATAACGGTTTAAAAAATAGCCAAGTTCCAAATCTGTATAACTCTTTATAGAATTTTTTTTAAAAAATTCTATTTTTGTAATGAAAAAATTAAAAAGTTAATTCCGGCCGGAAATTAATATGCAATTTGTAATGCGGGCTAAATTTGACCGTTAGCCCGAATCGAGGATCTGCCGTGCATTTTTTGTGCGGCACCTAGCCCACTATGTAAGATTTTTAAACTGATTTGTAAAAAATAGGCACAGGTGTGGTTATCATATAATTTATTACAGATGATTTATTAACATTCATCCAACCATCACTAACTAAGCAATGGTAAGGCGTTTCATAAAGAACATTTTGAACAACCATCTGTAAATCAGCATGTTCTTTATTTAAATAGTGAACTGGAAAGAGTTTGACGTGATGGAGTTCTAAAAAGGGGCAAGCTTTATCAAGAAAAGCATGAAATCTGAATTCTCAATTGTACTAAATGGATTCTAATTCTATTTACAGTAAAATCCGGACATGTATACCCCGGGTATTTTCAATACTCAATTTTGTACCCAGGGTACCTCTATATGGGGGTACGCCGTATTGAGACAATATGTTTTACTATATCTACCTGGGATGATACATATAGTATGTATAATACCCATGTATCCGGGTACAAGTCACCAACTGGCCCTTAAAACTGCTAGGGGTACACGCCATGGGGTATACGTGTCCGGATTTTACGGTACTTGTGTTGTTCCAAATTATCTAATATAGATTTTTTTTCGTTTTTTATTAGAACTAGAAGTTTCATTTGATATTATGTTTTTCATAATACATGCATCCAAATGTTCTTGTAATCGGGTTGCATTTTTTGCCGCATCCTTTACATGTGTAATGTTTCTTCCCCCAATTCATTAATTCGCATTGTGTATTTTTCCCACATTTCTTCATTCTTGTTTCGAACTATTTTTAATTGTTTCAAATTTTAATCAGATCTATTTATATGTTCAAGCAATGTTGTTAAACTAATGAATATAACGTTAAGTATGATTTCTTTGTTATTCTGTTTTGTAGTATCTTTACCGACTTTAATACTGTATTAACAATAACCTTCTTTTTCAACCTATGCCTTCAATTCTGGCACAGAATTACAGAATTATTTAGTGTGTGTAAGTTAGAAGATGGGCCGCTCCACTTATAATCTTGTTCACGCTTGATAGTACCAACTGCCTGGAGACTACCACACAACATTGAGTTAATTTATTCTTTACTTTGGACTTCGTTTGGCTTGCCTCTACCTTTTATTCAACAATGACGAAACCCTTCTCTTATTGCAAACAACACTTCACCCACAGCACACAATTATTCAATAACCAATAAGAATTTTCTTTATTAAATTATTGTATTGCAATTATTATTATCGTAATTAGGAAGAAAAATATATTAACTTATTCATTCCCTTGTTCTATTTATACTCTATCAAACTACAAGTTAATGACTCAAATTATTATTACAGTATCGTTTATTGCACGATTACGCACAAAGCAATAAAATAAACTCGCATGCATGAGTTCACTGATCTAACCAATATACATACACAGATGACTAATCACTGACCATGTTCCCTTGCACAAATTCCAAAGACAGAACGTATACATATATCATTCTTACGATATGTCGTATGATTATTACATGAAAAATTAATTTGCAGAATCTTACACAAAATTACGTAAAATTACGCAAGATTTCAGTAATTTTACATCCCTAATTGCAGGCGGCTCTTTTTTAAGAAAAAAAAAATTTTCCGTAAGTATACCGATACTTAAATATTAACATTAATCGATAAAAAATGGCAGTAAAATTCTTTGAAAAGCTTTCAAATAATTATCTTGAATTACTTGATGACAAAGAAGATTTTAATGTTATCATTAAAGTTTACGAAATTCCAAATATTAAAATATTCCAAGCACATTCCGCAATTTTAAGATACAGATCTTTATATTTTCGCAATGAATTGGCGAATATCAATAAAGATAAGAATAATATTAAAACACTTGAATTAAAAAATATTTCGATCCATCAATTTGAAATTCTATTCAAGTAAGTTATTCTACTGTATATACTGTTTATAATTTTATAACAATTTACAAAAAATCTGAAATATAAATTAATTTTATATAAAGATATATCTACGGAGGAATTGTCTTGCTCGAAAATCATAATGCATCATTTATTTTTGATCTTATGCTTATTGCTTGTGAATTTCTTTTTGATGAATTAGCTAAACACCTCGAAACTCATTTAATTGAAACGGAAGCTCATTCTCATTGGCTTTTGTTACATTATGTTCGTATTTATCAAAAAAGTTTCCAGAATAATAAACTTCAAGAATTACAAAAATGGTGCGATGATATTATGGTAAAATATCCTGATAGAATTTTTGATTCAGAAGAATTTATCACGCTTCAAGAAAATGCATTAGTATCGCTCATTAGTCGAGATGATTTACAAATGGAAGAAGTGAAAATTTGGAATCGTGTTATCGAATGGGGAATTGCTCAAAACCCTGACCTACCATCAGATCCTGAAGACTGGTCCAATGAAAATATTTTAGTGTTAAAAAACACTTTACAAAATTGCTTGCCGCATATTCGTTATTTTCAGATATCCGGTGATGACATTATCGATAATGTACGACCATATAAAAAAATCCTTGAAAAAACTCTTTGGAAAGATATAACAAATAAATTTATGTCACCAAATCGTCAAGTATCATCAATAATCCTCCCTCCTCGTGTAATTTTAACACCAAAATTACCAAATAGAAATACAAACTCATTTTCAAAAGTTATTAGTGAAGAACATGCAGCAGAAATTTCTTCATGGGTTGATAAAAAAGACAGTACATATTCTGTATCAAATAATCCGTACGAGTTTAAACTACTTCTTCGTGGAACTAGAGATGGCTTTACCAGAGATTCATTTTGGAATCTATGTGATAAGCATACACATCTTGTTGTAGTTATGAAGGTTAAAGATACTGATGAAATTCTTGGTGGTTATAATCCTATCGGTTGGGGTAGACCAGTGGATAGCTCATGTTGTAGTGATTCATTTTGCAATGATAGCTTTATTTTTTCATTGAAAAATGGCGCCATTCAAAATTCTATTTTAAGTCGCGTAAAAGATCCAAAACATGCAATTCGCAATAATTCGACTTTTGGGCTAATTTTTGGAGGTGGTACTCACAGTGATTTAGTTATGGTTAATAATAGTCAAGATAAAAAGTGTTGGAATTCTCCAAATTCATATAAAAAACGAATTAGGAACGCATCTACATTTGATGATGATGGCATATCATATTTTTCAGTTGAAGAATATGAAATATTTCAGATTCGTAAAAAGCGCCAAAAGCTAAGCTAATTAATTAGCTATACATCAACATTGTGTATAAATATCTAGTTATTTTTGTTTACAATGTAGCTCAATTAACCTTATTCACATTGTCATCTTCCTAAAAGCATAAAGTTTAATAATAATTACAAGCGATGCTTGATTTCTTTTACTTAAATCTTTCTTAATTTCCTTAATCTTTACAAGATCAGATTATGAATGTACTGATTTAATCTATTTATACTTAATTGATTTTTATTTTCTATAATTGTTTGATTTCAAATATCAGGAAATTTGATTGTATTTGTACATTGGAACTAAGGAGATGATCTTAAACTTTTTTAAAATTGTTTAAAATTAGTGCTAAAACTGATTTCTAAAATAGAAGTATAGAAGATCGATATTATACTATATCAATTATTACGAGAAATTATAATTAAACTCATAATAAAATAAACTAACTTATATATTTTGTATTTTACTTAAATATTTGCATTATTTGTTTCTTACAGTAAAAATAGTACATTTTTCCAAATGGTACCAGTGCGCCATTCCTAATCTTTCATTTCACCCCCTAATTTTTTATTACCTCTGCAATATGGCATTTCGATATTACACAGTCTCACAGCTTACGTTTTTTACGGCAAATAATGTAGCAAATGCCGTAATCGTAAATGTATTCCAACGTCAGCTATGGGCATGTTCAAAAATATTTCATAATTGATTTTGGACATAATCTTGCAAAAAAATGAATTTGACAATGACATGGCCTTTTTGCCATTTTTTTAAGATATTTATCTCGAATTGATACAACTGGTATTCATACACCCTCAATTTCAAGAATCAAAAAATAAATTATTATTATACATTGATGAAGAAAAATTGCACATTAGAAAGTTAAAAAGTAATAAATGCAAAGTGTTTACGCTTAAAAGTTACCGTATAGCCGCGAAATAACGCTCGTGGGCGTTATTTCGAAAATCAAACCCCCCTAAAATAGAATATGCGGTCTCGAATTAGCGCCCGAATTAACGCGCATCTCAATATGGCCTACATAAAAAGTAAAGAAAGCAAAAAGTGCTCCGGAACTAGATTCGTACTAAGTAAGCCTACTTCCGAGCCTGACAAAAATTGTTCCTTTCATTGAAGCAAGTAGGTTTACTTAGTGCCTACCTAGTTCCGGCGCAATTTTTTTAAATCTTATTATTATTAAGGGGTACGATTCAAAAAGCCAACTCTTAATTCGAAATAACGCACATGGGCGTGCTCGAAATAATGCGCAGGTCAATTAATTAACGCGCAGGTGGGCGTTATTTCGCGGCTATACGGTAATAAAGAATAAACTACATACAGTGTAAAACCTAAATATAATTATTTGCTTTATTCGTCTAAATAATTAATTACATGAATTTAAATAATAAATCAAATAAAATAATATAAAATATTAATGAAATTTTTTTAAATAAATTATCTATAATTTGATTTTTCGTGAATTTGAAGTACGTACTTCATAATCCTCCATAACTAATAAGAAAACAAGATTACAATTATGATCCACATGCTTATTTCTAATTGGCTTTTCATACAAAACATTTATTCTTATACTATTTAATATTAGTAAGATTGTGACCATCACCAAATCATAGACAATTATTAGGACGACAATAAATAGCTTTTTCTAAATCTTTTATACGACTTAAATAGATCTCTTAATTAAACCATTTTTCAACAAAAAAAGAAAACTTTCATTACACCTATTATAAAGCAAAGATTTATCCCATTCAAGAGGGGAGTCGTTAAATATCCCAAAGATCTAAATCCCGATGGTACTACATCCGTCCTCCTCTATAATCACGCAATTTGTTTTACATAAAAACGATGTGATTATAAAATTTCAACAGTAATGTGATTATATAGAGTTTTTAATACATATCGGCGGATTTGATAAAATATAAAAACCGTAGCTCCAGTCAAATTTGCAATTCATTTGGTCAGGTTGAAATTAAAGCTGCCAAATGATCTGCAAATTTGAACAGAGTTACGGCTCATCTATTTCTGTATTTTATCAAATTCCACAAATCCGCCAATATGAAATATATTGCAAATAATTTTCAAAAAATGGTGCCTATAAAGAGGGTGTGATTATATAGGAGGTGACTGTAGAGGAGGACGACTGTATATATCAAAGCTTAAAATTTCGAAAAATTAATATTTCGACAATTCATTAATTCGAAAACTAAATCTCGAAAAAAAACCCCACGAACGATCACAGTATCGAAAAAATATCCCAAATGTAATAATCCTGAATATAATATAACCTCGAATGTAATAATCCTGAATATAATAATCTAATCTCGAATGTAATAATCCTGAATATAATAATCAAATCTCGAATTAATTAACTGAATAGGCAATTAATTTTAGTTGAATTAATTTTAATTTTCTTTTCAGTTAACATGGAGCAAGAACAAACATAAACATAACCAAAAGACTATATACAACGCTTTTAAGTCCGTAAAACATTCAATTGGCTTAATCAACCTGCAAATGCGAATTTGGAAATTGACGTTTCACGATTTTATGAGCGTTGTTCTATTGTGTTAAAATGAAGCTAATTAAGTCTAAATTGAAATATTATATATTTATACTCAACCCAAAAGTTGATCCAATTAAATTAATTGCCTATTTATAGTTGTTAGACGAAACCTCGAGGTTTCGCGCTGACGAAAGTCGAAACCTAGTCTCGACTTTCGTCAATTAAAATTTCAAATGACGAAATGTCGAAACTGTCGAAAGGTGTCGAAACTGACGAAAGGTGTCGAAACTGGCGAAAGGTGTCGAAACTGGCGAAAGGTGGC